TTTTCCCTTGCATATTTAAATGTAGTGTGGTGGGACCTTTTGAGCGGCTTTCACGAGAACCCTCCGCACTCCACGCTGACGTTCACACTTCCTTTCACCCTTGTGCTGAGAATGTTGATCAGAGTCTGCCATATTGTTACGCAATTCTCCTTCCCTATGTCTTATCACAGTCTCCCTCTTGCCCCGTAGAGTCCGTCTGCTATCTCCCTGGTACAAGAATTTCTCTCGCTCTCTGCCAACCCTTCTGTGCTACTCGAGGCGTTATTTCCCAAACTCTGCGTTTATGTGACTTATTCGAGGTTAAAGCCTCTGAGTAAGTGTCATGGTCACGCCTTTGCTGCATGGACCACGTCTCTGATACAACCTACTTTCAGCTAACTAGCTCTAGTCTCCGCCGCGTCTATCCTGTTTCTATGCCTAATACCAAGTCTATGACTTCCCCTGCCCTAGTCTCTCGTGTGCTAATCCACAAGAGTTGTGGTACTGCTTGCTTTGATTAGGTTTAATGTTGGATAACAACGTTTGTTCGTTGGCACACAAGACACTAGGGCATAGCAAGTCATATACTTGGTATTACGGATAGAAACAGGATAGACGCGTCGGAGACTGGAGCTAGTTGGCTGACCGTAAGATTTACCAGAGACGTGGTCCATACAGCAAAAGCGTGACCATGACACTTGCTCAGAGGCTTTAGCCTCGAATTAGTCATTCACACGCAGAGTGTGGTAAATAACGCCTCGAGTAGCACAGATTGGGTGTCAGAGTTCGAGTGAAATGCTTGAACCATGGCGATAGCAGACGGATTCTACGGGGCAAGAGGGAGACTGTGATAAGAGCTAGGGAAGGAGAACTGCGTAACAATATGACAGACTCTGATCAACATTTCCAGCGCAAGTGTGAAAAGGGTAAGAACGACAGTGTGGAGTGTGAAGGGTTTTCATGAATGCCGCTCAAAGGAGCACACCACTAAATTGAAACAAGCACGGTAAAAAAGTGTATAAGTAAAGGCATGATAGGAGGATATAGAAAATGTGAATGGCCCAGGGCAGAAGGAGAGATACCACAACTGTTTAGCACACGTTTGGTCAAAGGATCGGCTTCACTTGTTGTGTGGTGCTACGAATGACAAGACTGACTGACGATGCCGACTACGATGCTGGCAAAACGTCTGGGAATGTACCACGTCCACGATCCTACTCTGGAAATGATGATGCATACAATGGACTCTGGACAAGGTGTGTTCCTCTAAGTCTTCCTACCAATATGACCAAGTTGCGAAAACAAGGTCAAACAACTGCGACCACACAAAAGGCCACGCCATCTTGGTCTTCAGCCCAATTGAACTGAAATGAATTCTGATGTGCCTCGTCAGAAGACGACGGCAGATTTCGGTTGGTCTGCTGTCGTTTTGTTTTACTCTGACATCCGCCTTGATTCATCACTCGAGGCCACCTCTTCCGGTTACGATGGCAACACAGTGAGCTCTCATATTTCATATCTTATGACAGATATTGTCGAAGCAGTGGCGCTTACAACCAGTAAAAGATCCAGTCGGCTACTCATTTCTGGCTACATCTATTCATATGGCCATCAAACTAATGACGGGCATATAATGACTGTTCTTGTTCTAGATGTAATAGACACTTCGAAGCCTACTCAGTTTGGATATAAGTAATG